AGTATAATTTCATTCATTTTAATCATACAATAAAAATTATTTTTAAATTGAATTAAAAAATTATTTTAATATTTCAAGTGTTTTGTGGAAGACTTAAAACAATTAGATTTAAATCTTATACAACCGTAACATAAGTTTTGAAGTAAATGTTAAATAAAATATAAAATCACAATAAAAATTGCAGCGTTTGTGTTGAATAAAAGTAAAAAATCAATTTAAAAATCAATAATTAAGTCTCAAAAATGATTTATAAATTACATAATATATAAGGATTTAATACTTTTGGCAGGAATTAAATTATACTGTGGATTAACAGTCAACACACGTATACACAGTAAGTACAGCAGCGGTGATAATACAATAGTTAATAATAATAGTTAATAACAATAATGTTTAGGCATTTGAAAAGATAAAGTTTTCAGTCATAGAATAAAACAATTGTTTCGCTTTTAAAACATTCATTAAAAACATTGTAATTAAAACATCAAACATTTACAAAATATAATTATTATATTTGTCTTAACGAACATAGTTATAAAGAATTATAACTAATTATATAATTATAATTATAAAGAATATATACAACAGAATAAATTGAGTTAAAATGCAAATATTGTCATCAAATATCATATATATAGGCATCGATTGATTGATCACAACATATATTAATAGATAAAAATAGTTTTGTTACTTCTTAAAGGAGGGCTTAATTTTCTTCTTTTGTTCATTTAGGTATCGCTCGACGTCTTCATCGATGGTTATGTCTGTATTCAAATGGAGAGACAATTATATATTAATAATCACAACACAAATAAAATGCATTTTTAATACCCAATTGTTGGCTAATGAAGGAAAGGGCCAAATAATTGGTCAAATCGTGAGCAGTAAACTTATTCCTCTTGGAATTGGTCTTAAATCGTCTCATAAAGAGTTTCGTAAACCAATTGAACACAAACGGCGTATCGGTTTGATTGAAATGAGCCGATCCTCTGATGGTAACGGCTTTGCGGGCCTCAGGAGCGGAGCCTTCGGCAGAGGGTTCAACGGGATTGGCAGAGCTGACAATCAGTTCCTTCATTTTCTCAAAATTAGCCGCCATTTCGATACAATTATCGGTGTTCACAAAGAGTATGGGTTGAGTGACCAAATCGAAGCCCTCGTCTTTGATTGGATACATCCAGGCGTCCAAACAGACGGCCACTTTGAAGCGCATCTCCACCGCCGCCGACATGACAGCAGTGGCGCCGCCCATCGAGTGCCCCATTACGACGGCTTTGTCGAGATCGATGAGACCCTCGAACTCTGCAATGTTAAAGAGCGGATCCAAAATGTTGTTTAACTCGTAGCCGGCCTGAAGGGCTTCGAGCAGATCCAACGCTCGCGAACACTCGCGCACTCTGTGATGGATCTGTTTGTTCCGGAAGGCGTATATCTTGCGCGACGTCTTCTCGATGGGATGGTGTCGATAGCGGACCCATTCCATGGCGATGTGCGGCACAGAGACCACTGCGGCCAACGCTTTGGGCGGCACGTAATTCGGGTCATCGATCTCGTCGCCAAAGTCGGGCTCGTCTTCGCACAGGCCGTCCACTTCGTTGGCGAAGAAGTTTGGATTCGACTCTTTCATCGAATAGCGGATCTGTTTGGCGTAAAATGACAGACAGGCCGTGTTGTCCCTGTGCTCCACAGCTAACACAGTAGTAACACAAACAAAATAAGACAATCAATTAAAATCATGCGAAACAATGGTGTTTGGACTCGACATACCGGCCACTATGAATCCATGTGAGGCCATCTCCAGACAAATGCCTGAATACAGTGTCCGACAGCCGCCGACGCCGTGCGAGAAGATGATTGTGGGAAAGGGTTGGCCCTCTTTTTCGCGATAGGGTTTGGCGTTAGGAATGGCGGGAATAAAAGTGTCGCCATTCAGACGCTGCACAAAACGAAACAACGGCTCCCACCGAATGGTCGCCACTTCGCCGTAGCCGCGGCCGTACGCCTCCTGCGGCAGCCAATTGGGCCAATACAGGTGCTGCTCCTCAATGGTCTTCGTCTGGTCGGCGGCCGGATAGTAGAGACGGACCAAAACGCCGCCCTTCTTCGTGAATCCGGTCATAATGTCGCGAAAGCCGATGATCCTGAAAGGCCCGGTGGGCATCGGCACGTGCTTTCGGTCACCGCATTGTAGCGATTTGTTCCGCAGTGTCTTCAGCTTTTTCACCATTTTTACCACCGATTTGTACGCAAAATCTTGTTATCAAAAAATAATTGTTTTTTTCTCTCAACGAAAAAGTTTTAACAATAGTTTTTGGAGTCGAGTCTTAAGGATGTCTTCGGTTTATCACATCATTTGAACGCTATTTTCTCAGATATAACTGTAATTTCAGAGACAATGGGTTTATCAGACATTTTCATTGGTTTAAATAAATTAATTTAATTAAAAATATTAATAAAGACACAACTTTTTAATTAAAAACCCACAAATTTATAGAATAATCAATGTACGGTATATCAGAATAATCAATGTCCTGCACTATATCAGATTTTAAGCAAGGTAAAAGTAATAAATGTAATACAACTCCAATACATTACATATGAACAAAGCAGTGACCATTTGAACAATATAAACTGATGGGCGAGAATGACCCTGGGCATTATAATAAAAAGGATTATATGCGGTAACTATGGTTTCGAGGCATTAATTTCAATGAAAACTTATTCACAATTCGTGTAATTAATTAACAATAATTATTCATGAAATGTATATAATATGAGAGCATTTGCTGTGAATATTCAACAGGTATTTGAAGGCAAACGAAGCGAAAACACTGTGTTTTCAACTTTTTTCCCGTCAATTAATTTACTAACTGTAAATGTAATAAATATCTCATAAATAATATGAAAGTATAATAACGATGTTTAACGTGTGAATGAAATATAATGGTTATTATTATTTGCACACAAAATGAGAGCAATACAGAGTAAAAGGAAAATAAATTTATCAAAATGATCTACATTATTTAAGTGTTGTATATATTTTTGTTGTATGGTAAAGCCATTTGTTACCATTATAATATTCAACATTTACCACATATTCACATATGTTATATCAATA